GTGTGTGTGTGTCAGTGCAGACATGTGTGACTTCATGAGAGCAGTTTTACTTTATCAAACATGTTAGAAAAATAGAAACAAGGATTGTTTTTAGAGTAGAAAACATAAACAAGCTGTTCACACTCAAATCAGCTGATCCACCAGGCTGAACTTCCTGCCTGGAAGAACGTTTTAATATATGAGGAAAATATTTCTGACGGTTAGTTTAAAAAAGCCGCACAGGGTTTAACACGAGCTCGCTTTGACCTGCTGATTCTGCTTCCTGACCGATGCTGAGGTTTTTCTTATTCTGGGACTTAAACGGGAACAAAGTCCAGGCTTCGTCGACACACCCAGGCGGAGAAGAGGACGGCGCAAAGATGTATTTTTATATCGGAGAAAACCATGAAATCGTAAAGAAGCAGAGTCGCTGTGCGGCTGGTTTAGTCACCGTGGCGACGCCACGCAGCCTCGGCCTGGTTTTAGGCGTACCGTGAACTTGTTGGAGCCTCCATGTTAATGATGTCGTGTTTGGATCGAGGACGCAGATCCAGAATGACCTCTGGAGCTCCGTCGCCAGGAAGTCACCATAGAGACCAGCATGGCAACCAGCTGTGGTCCATTTACTTTACAACATAGTATCCAGGCATTAAAAGTGCAGCAGCCTTTAATTGGAGGGCAGTTTGAGGCTCCGACACACAAAGAGACTCGATTCTCTCTTAAGAGCCTGAATTAGAAAAGATGAAAGACGGAAATTATGGGAATGACGTCGTAATTTGGGGTATTTTCCCTCTGAGCTGTGGACTGATGCATTTCTTATCACTGCGCTGACGTCACCTAAAGGTTTTCAAAGGGTCGTCTGAAATCCTGCAGCCGCTGAGACTGAGGCGTCTTTGTTAGACGAGCTTCAGCCAAGAAGGTGAAGCAGAAGCAGGAACTTTATCTGCCCCCAGTTACAACTCGTATTTACGACAACATGATGTTAATGTTGTGATCTATGGTCTGACTTTCATGAATGAAGTCCAGGCCTCACGCTGACTCTGCAGGTTCATTCAGTCACTGCCCAGCACAGGGCGAGAGGCGGGGCAGGTCTGTCACAGGGTTTATCAACAACATTCAGGACAGAGTTACAAACACATGAAAACAATACAAACAACAACAAACAACAACAAACCTGAAGAGAAGCAGCTCCTGTGCACTCGCACACATCAAATCAGAGACGGTTGGATGAGAAACGACCCTCAGAGAGGAAATATTCATGAATCTCTTCGAATTCCTTCATTTCCTGTAACTCCAAATCATAAACCTCATTTTCCTACTATGATAAGGTTGCACACGAGTGGGAGGGGCAGATATGTCCCCAAGTGAAGTGTTTCCTTCTGTGTTTTTCGTACATCGGAGACTTTACGTTGTGTCCTCCCACTAGTTTAGGTTAGGGGTTAACCTCAGGGTTAGTTTCCCCTGAATGAGCCTGACATGCTGCACAAACCAGAAACAGCCGTTTCCAGACGTGCGGCGATGTCACTGATTTGCTTCCTGATTGTTTCTCATTTGCTTCAGTAAAGTTTGATTGTGGAAGCCCCACAGACAGAGTGGTGTTTCCACTCAGGCTCTCTCTCACCATCATCATCACTCCAATAGCTTAAGCCACGTTGGGTTCAGTTACAGCCAAATGTTACGTGGGCCAGATGCCGTACGGCGTCCACCTACAGCAATAACTGAAACACAGCATCGTGGTTCGTTTGTGCCTTTGTTGTCATGCTGACCTTGCTTCAGTCAGGCCACTATTTTCAAAAGAAGATTATTTCCACTTGCATTGTTTGGGTCTTTTCGGGTACCTCCCTGCCTTCCATGTGCAGCAGACCTCTGACGAGTGATACGACACTAACTTGATCAAATACAACAACGATTTCAAAGGCTGGAGATGCCCAGAATCCATCTTATGATGCAAAGCTTTGTGTCTGCAGGAACACGGGGATGACAAATGAACACCTGAAGCATCTGACAGCGTGTCTGTGGAAGTTCTGACTGTTCTCTGTCTGTCCTGACCCGACAGAAGGAGAGCGACCAGCAGATAACTGCGCAGGTGGAAGGCGGCCTGACCACCTACACCCAGACGGGCCTGGCGGCCGGTCAGGATTACAGAGTCGGCATCGTGGGAGAGATCGACGGCAGGAGAGGAGGCGAGAGCACCGCTGAATTCATGACACGTGAGGTTTTGTTTCCTTCTTTGTCAGAAACTCCTCTGCTTTTCTCTTCTTACTAAATCGAAGCCACAATCGCTTCCACCCTCCACAGATGGAAATGATTTTAACACTTAGATAACCATTAAAAATGAGGAAAGTCATACAGACTACACTGACTTTGAATAACTTGTGTACTTCTTAGTCACTCTGCACTGAATTATCCTCCTTAATAGTGTTAGTTCTTTGGCTGGTTTACAGGAGTTATACCGTGATGGTGTTTAGGAGGTGTGATGGGTGTAGCTACGTTTTATCACGTCGTTTTGTGTTGTAACCATTCTGAGAACACCAAGTATTCCCCAAATACACACTGTGTGCAGATGTCCTGACAAAAGGCATGTTCTTCAACTCTGATACCTGAACCAGAAAGTAACTGTGCGCTGGTCCTGCTTTATGAAAGAGCCTGAAGTTAGAGAAAGGAGCCTCTGACTAGCATACTGGCACTTGAGAGCAGCTCAAATCACCAAACTGGCAGCAGGAGCTTAAACATTTCACTCTCGCTGCCCTTCCTGTGGGAGATGTAATCTGTGGCAGCTGCAGAGAAGCTGCCCGGTGGCTGGCGATGAAGAGGACGATTCAGTCTGCAGGAGTTTAGAAAAGGCAAAAACCGAGTGGAAGTGTATCGATCCAAGCCAGGGGGGTAAACAGGAACAGGTAGACGGCTTCATGTTACCTGGAAGAAAACATTCACCTGGCGTGTGCTGGACTTTCTTCTCTGTTTTCTTCACCTTCAGTCATTTCTGGTCCCACCAACCTCAGAGTTGTCAAGATGTCGTCCACATCTGCGGTAGTCCAATGGGAGCCGACAGTGGGGGAGATTGACAGGTACCGTCTCACCGTAACGCCAAATGATGGAGCGGGGAGGAGTCAAGAAATGACCATCCCAGCTGACCAGAACTCCGCACAGATCCAGCGGCTGGAGGCCGGGCGTTTGTATGACATCCTGCTCGTGGCAGAGAAAGACACGAGCAGGAGCGCTCCAGAGACCACCCAGGTAGTCCCCGGTGAGTAGAGCCAATCACAGCTTGCTTCCACTCAGGTTAACGTCCTGGAAATCATTTTTCTTAGCTCACGCCATTGACTGTATGTAGATAATGGAGATAGCCTCAACTTTATATGTCAGAAGTGACCTCATTTAAATCATATTTAGCTAATGCTCACTAGCTTTGTTTGTAAGCTGCATCCATAAACTGTCAGATACTTGCTAATTAGTGCTAAGGAGCTAAAAAATAACGTAAAAGGAATTAAATTCTTGGCTGGTCGACTACTACATTTAATAGCAATTCCAGTGTTTAGTACAGTTTGACAGTAAGCCAAACATATTTATCAGATAATTGCATTACAAATGCTCCACGAGTCTCCAACAGCAGTCGAGAGGTCCAGTTCACATGGATGTTAGAGGAACTGAAGGTTACTGCTTGTTAAGCATTTTATATGAAATTTGTGGTCAACAATGTTAGTTAGAACTATGAAGTGTATATAACGTTTCTGGTCTGAACAGTAAATGCAGAGCTACCTCACAGCTTTCTAAAGGACAGACGGAGGATTCTCCTATAGTTTAAGAAAAATAAGTCCGGTTAAAGTCTCAGAAAATGATGCTTTGGCCTGATTGATTAATTTAATAAAGTGCAGTATGATGTTTGCAACTTTACAGTCAAAAAACAAGCTAAAGCAGAACATGCATGACCACGTATGACTCTGTGCATCCATACGAGTGTTCACCGTTTCTGTTGTGCTGTATGTTCACAAAAACCCAAGATAAAATCCTCACCTTGAGGCTTCACAGCAGGACTTGTTACGTCTGGCTTTAATAAGAGCCTCTGGTTAGTTATCACCCCAAAGTTAGTCTGAAATGACTCACTGCTGAGTAAAAAGTTAGAAATTTGATAAGAGAGAGAAATAAAAGGAAGGAATCCAGGTCGTTGTTGTTCAAAGATTTCTTTTCCAGGCTATGCTCGGGCCATAACAGCTTTTGTTCGGCTAAGTGAGCCTTTGTGTCCCGACACCTCATCATTCAATGAATTACGTCATATAAAACACGTTAGTCGATGTCCTCCCCCGACCCTCAAGAAGAAAACGTACTTTTATCTGCCTCTAACCTCAGTCGTTATATTTCTTTCTCAACAGTGATACGAACAGGTTTGTCCGAGGAAAACAATAATGACATTATGATATTCTCCTTGCAGGTTGAACATGGATGCTGCTGACCTGAGTTATGGTTTGCTCGGGCTGGCAAACTGTTGTAAATCAGGTTTCCTTAAAGGAACAATAATGGTTAACAACCCTGCTTTTCTTTCTTTGTTAGGTGTGACTTCTTCAGTATTAAGGGCATATTATGATGATCTTAACACTTAATCCAAATACTCACTGCCTTTACATCCTTAGGAACGATATTACCAAGATTTCCCACGGCAGCTTCCCCTCCATATATTTCCAAAGAGTCCACTTTGACTACCCAGGCCTCCCTAGCACCTAACCAAGATGTTAGCAGCATACACCAAGACTTGAACCCATCAGCCGAGGGACAAATATTTGACCAGCGTGAGAAGACAGAAGATGTGAGCAAGGACAAAGACTCCTCAACTCCTATAATAATTGCCAGAACTAAACCTCTGGTCAATAAAATGTTTTCAATAAATGGCACCAGCCCCAAACCCATCGGAAAGTCCATATTGCCAAGGAAGCAACCGCATTTCAATGCAACAAGAGTTGTGCCCAGAAGGAGACCTTTTAAAAAAGTCTTGGAGAAGAAAAACCTTAAACCAGGTGTCCCCATCATCAGACAGTCTGTGTCAGACCCAAGTATAGAGGCATCCAGCTCTGACAGAGTTGATAAAAATAAAGCTATGCTGCCTGGAACAGATTCAGAAACAAAGATCCAAAGTAGCTCAGAGGAATCAGCGGCTGCTGCTGACTTAAAAGGGCCACCGCATGTTGGCATTGCAGGCCATGGAAATGACACTGGTCTCGTTTCTCCAGAACCAAGTGGGACCGTTCAAAGCCAAGAGAAGAAATGTCTAAATAAAATCAAAGTGACACATTCGAGACTCCCCTTAAAAGATAGAGGCAATGGGTGTAGGGGGGCTGAGCATGCTGGCATGGTAGAGAAAAGTCCAGACCTGGGTTCACCGCCTTCTGCAGAGCCAGACCTTGATTATAAACCAGATCCTTTACATAAACTTTTGAAAGACACTTTTGATAGTATGAACATCTCAACATTTTCTGTTCACCTGTCAAAATCATCAAACCTCTCAGTCAATGCAGACATAATTGGGAAACAGATTTTGAGAGGACTGAAGCCACTGCCATCGCTCTCATCCTCTTCAACATCCTCAGAGTCACAATCATCATCGCATTCATCAGCCTCAAGGACATCACACTCTCCAGCTGCACCACCATCACCTTTATCCTCACCATCCCCACCTTCACCTGGTTCCGATGGATCAACGGCAGGTTCATCGTCCTCGCAAATGTCTTTAATTCCATCATCACCTTCATCTTTACTGTCACCACCTCCATCCACATCATTGTCCCTTCCAACAACATCATCATCCCCTTCCAGATCTGATAAATTTGATTCACATTCAAGCAATGAGCTAAGTGAAAGCAGCAGAAGTATCTCTGCGCCTGCACCACCCACAGATAGAAAACCACCACCAGAAGGTGGGGTACCTCGAATGAACACTCCTAAATATGGAATCAGACGCCGTCCATATGCAAAGTTTGGACCTTTTCAGAACAAAACCCATATAAATTCTAGATTCCGTCTCCCCTCCCATCGTATGAACCTTAGTCCTGAAATGACAGCAGAGAACAAACATCGGCCGACGAGCGAACTGTTGTCTTTACCATCTATATCTGCTTCTGAGGAATCATCCTCTGTTAAGGCAAGTGTACCAGTGAAGGATACAACTGGGTTAAAAAATGGGACAGGTACACCTGACTTATCTGGAGTCGAGCAAAACCAAAAAAATGTGCAGATAGAAAGACAAAGGATAGCAAATCGCTGTCCTCCATTCAAGAATTGCCGTTTTCTAAAAGGGGGACCTTTTCAGAATCAAACTCGTCGTATTGGACCTTTGAACCGTGAAACAGAGCCACGCAAAGAGCAGGTGGTTTCCAATGAGTTAACAGCTACGTCAGCCCCTTCTCTTCCCAAAGGGCCTGTGAGAGATGCAGATGATGGTGGACTTGGGACAAGAATCTCCTCCACAAGTTCAGCCACTGAGTTTAATCGGACACTCAGAGGAAGAGGAATGTCTTCCTTCCATCGCCCAAATACCAAACTGGGCTATATCTCTCGCCAACTATATGCAAGACGTTTAAAAAACGGAACCCAAAGAGTACCTCAACGTCCGTATAACTATCCTCCTCACAAGTATTTCCCAAACAAAGAGGTAAATGCAGGCAGCACTGGAAATCAAACTGGCCAACTGGGAAGCATATTAACTCGCCAGAATGTCCGACACCCTACGCATCAAATTCCAATTAGAGAAGGAAATCAAGATACTGCAGCTGACCAGATAGATGGTCAAACCAATGTCCGATCACAGACTGAGAATCTAGGAACTGGAGACAGAGCTGTGGGGAGAGAAGAAGATATTAGCAGTACTGATTCAAAGCTGCAAGAAATAAATGACAACGGAAATCCTGGCAAAAGCAATGGGACTGGAATTCAAGGCAGACCAACAAAACAACATTTCCCAAATTCAAGACCCTCCAGCTCAGTCACATTTCCAATAAGACAACCAGCAGCAAAAACTGTTCCAGCACAGCATCACACCCACATTAGACACTACACCGGGGGTAGCCAAAAGAGTGAGAACCCACAAACATTTGAAAGTAAAACTAAGCAGACAAATCCTACGTCAGATCTTTCTTCGTCTGGAGTCTTAAGGGAACCTTTGGACTTTGTGGAAGTCATAAACCAGACCACTGATGGATTCACATTGATATGGGACTCACCTGAAGGCAAGTACAAAAACTTTGTTGTGACGAGAAAAGACGGAAAAGAGGAGGACACAGAGCCAAAAGAAAAAGAGCATGACTACCACGATTCTGGCAAAGAGGGAGGCAGGGAAGAAGAGAAGACGAATCACACGCCTAACAGGGACACCATTTCCCAAAATGTAGGTAGTGAAGATGAGAACAGAGTGCCTGGAAGCCTTGTAACTCATGCCCCAAAAATCCAAAGCAAAACAATAGTAAAACCAACAGAAAATGAAAAAACCTTCAAAAAAGTCCTTCCTGGTTCAGCTCGGTCCTTCCGGTTTGAGGATCTGCCCCCACAGCCCGAGTACACCTTGACCTTACTGGGAAAGGGCCCTGGCGTTCTGTCCAGACTGCACAAGCTTGTCATCAGTACAGGTACAAGCTATTGTAACAGTAGAAAAGATGAATTTCTACTGTGCAAAGCTTCAAAATTACTGTCAGTGTTGTCAAGTCTCGTTCAGACGGCTCGATTCTTTCTTTTTGATCTTGTACCCGCGTCAGTCTTGGATCATTCAGAAGACTGTTCATTCAAGTGCTAATAACTAATAATCACTCGTCTTAAATGTGACTAGAAATGTGTGCTTACCCACTAAATGCTTCCTCCATCGTGGTTTCAAGAGCTCGGATGCTGTGGCGCTCTTGAAGACTGTAAGCTTGTGATTTACAGTTCCACATTCATCACTTTGTGTTTGTCATTCAAACAGTGGTTCAGTATAACTCACTTTCTTATTAACACATACTGATTTTGAAAAAACTCTCATGAACTTGTGTTTTCTGTTCATATTATATTTGTGCAGTCATTCTTCAGCTCTCGTGAATATGACAAATACTCATATTCATGACATTATAAAGATCAACACCCTGTCCATCCAGTTATTTGATGTCAACCCTCAGATGTGGGTTTACAAAGCTGTTTGCCAGATAGTCTTCTTAGTTTGTACTGGCCTAACTTGGTTAACAAACAACCTGCAGAACTTACCAGACTGCCACATGCAGAAAATTTACCAATTCTTTACAAAAAACAAAAAAAGAGGGCGAATCTTTGTTTTTTTCTCTTTGTACAAACATTAGGGAAGATTTTATGTACAAGAAACCAAACAGCATTCCAACTCTGTTGGGCATGATTAACAGAAGAGGACCCAGGATTGAGCCTAGGGGAACTCCACTCAGATGCACTGTTGATACAAGTTGATCAACTAAGTTGACATCAAAGACATCAGTAACAACGTAACTCTCTTCATTCACTGCTACTCTGGTTTTTTCTCACTCAGGGTAAGCTAACAGCCATCTTCACTGACACCTCTTCACCTCTCTCCCAAACCAGGGTAAGACCACGGCTGGTCTCTCTACTTTCGGTCTGTTTTAACTTTTCGCATTTAAAAACGAAAAAGTAAATCAATTAGTAAATCTGTAAATGTGAACATTTTAAGGTAAATCAGCGCTGTACAGTACTGATGCATACTGTCAGTATTATACAGTACAGCATAGATTTTAATACAAAGAATAGTCTAATTCTCTTTTGTAATATACAGCTTAAGTCGTGCAAAAAATAAAACAAATATCATTTATTGAGTGATACCGAGTCCTTCTGAGTTTTGGAAAATTATCTTAACTTCTCCCAATCGTTTCCTGGTTCTCACTTCCAGCTCTAAACAGTTAAATTAATATCTTAATGTGTTTGTGTTCATTCACTCTGAATAATCTTGTCAAGTGGTCTCTTTATCTTCCTTTGTTTTAACGTCCTTTATTCCTGCCATGCCTTTTATTTTCAGGTGAGACCGAGCAGCTAACTACTGTGTTAAAATGTCGTCACTCCCTCCTTTGCCCAGGAGCCATCTGCATTTAATTGTTACTTTATATGTCTGTATATGATTTGTATACTGTATATATGTTTGCATTGTACATATATACACAGAAACCCATTGGAGCACTAATAGCAAATGTGTGGATGAATAAATAATACTGTGCACACTGTTTTCACTCATGACTCTTTTCACTCTACTTCAGTGTTTTTCACAAACCCAGTTATTATTTTTTCTTTCTCTTTGTGGAATTTTTGTATTTCTGCTGCTTGTTTTTGTCTTTTATTGATGTTTTTCCCTCCACTTCCCTTCCTGCCTTTCGTTTACCCCCCCTCTCTTGTTATATTCGATCTGCCCTCTAGGACCCGAGCCTCCCTCTAACATAGTCTTCAGTAAGGTGACGGAAAACTCTGTGACGGTGTCGTGGACCAAACCAAAGAGTCCCGTCAGCGGTTTCAAAGTCACATATACCCATGCAGAGGATGGTGAGAGCCTGGATTCCTATTGTGCTTCATTTCTTATTGGCTAGTGAATATTTACGTAAGCCAGGGGTGGGCAACTCCAGGCCTCGAGGGCCGGTGTCCCTGCAGGTTTTAGATGTGTCCCTGATCCAACACAGCTGATTTAAATGGCTAAATTAGCTCCTCAACATGTCCTGAAGTTCTCCAGAGGCCTGGTAACGAACGAATCATGTGATTCAGGTGTGTTGACCCAAGGTGAGATCTAAACCTGCAGGACACCGGCCCTCGTGGACTGAGATTGCCCACCCCTGACGTAAGCAAAGGTCCAGTTTCTAGATCAGGGAGCGAGGTCACAGCTGATGAGTAAAGACGTCTGTTCCATCAGAGGTTTGGTTCAGTTCAATAACATTGTTTCCTCTGTGTGATTGTTAGATCCTTGCCGTATAATTTAAAGCACCTTGAGGCGACTGATGATTTGGTGCAAGACTTTATGGAAAATAAAACTTTTTATTACATGCAAACGTCTATTAGGATTACATGAATAAATAACTAATCCTGTGTTTGTGCATGCAGGCGAGCCGGTGTCGGTGTCTCTGGACTCAAAGGACTCCACTGTGGGTTTATCCAAGCTCTCACCTGGTTCTTCTTACGAGGTCACCGTCATCTCCACCCTCGGACTGGACGAGAGCGATCCAGTGAAAGACTTTGTCATGACGCGTGAGTCACGCGCTGTTGTTCACTGTTTATCTCAGCCTGAGATGACACACTGTTGTAAAAGTTCATAATTGAATCCACACATGGTTTCTTTAAACAGTTTCATGTTTTCCATTTTTTGTGCTTTTTTTACACTGAAGAACTAAAAACAATTAATTTTACATGATTTTGCTTCTATATGAGAACTGGTAGCTTGGTAGTGTGTGCAGCAGGTGCTGACCTGGAAATGAGCTGCACGGTTTTTATGCTTCGTCTGAGGAGACTCGTGCTGGATTTATTCCAGTCGTCTGTGTTATTTCAAAGAGCAGAGAAGGCAGTTCAGATGATTCCCATCCTAAACACAGTCTCACGGGGAAACTGGAGGCTTTTTCTCATCTTTGCATATTTCACTGGTGATCAGTCCACAAACTTCAGTGAGGTCAAGCAATGGCTCCTGGCAAACACTCTTATCCTCAATGATAAGAAAGCTGAAATTGTGGTCTTTGGCAGTAACGTTCTCCGTGCCAAACTTCGTGATGCTTTTGGTTTTCTCACTAGTTCCTTTTCCGACACTGTTAGGAATGTGGGCGTGTTACTTGACAGCTCTTTTAAACTTGATAAACAAGTGTCTGCTGTTGTTAGATCCAGTTTTTACCAACTCCGCCTTATTTCTAAGGCCAGGCAGTATATCCCACATAAAGACCTGGAAAAGCTCATCCATGCCTTTGTAACTTCGAGGCTGGATTACTGCAATTCACTCTATTTTGGACTCCACTCTGCCCTCCTTCATAGATTACAGACAGTCCAAAATGCTGCTGCACGCATTCTAACCAAAACTAGGAAGTTTGCCCACATTACTCCCGTCCTGGCTGATTTGCACTGGTTGCCTGTGAAATATCCAATTTAAAATTCTGCTGTTTACTTTTAAAATCACTAACAACATAGCACCGAGCTATCTTAAGGAACTCCTAAGCTCATATGTTCCTGCTAGGGCTTTAAGATCATCCTCACAGTTACTGCTGGTGCAGCCTAGATCTCGGCTGAAGTCTAGAGGTGATTGAGCGTTTGCTCTGGCTGCACCACAGTTGTGGAACAACCTTCCGATTGGCATCCGGGCGTCTGACTCTATTCAATCTTTTAAATCACGGCTTAAAACGTATTTGTTTAATCTTGCTTTTTCTACCGGTGAAATGCTGGCCTTGTTTGCAGTGATTTATTCTATTAATTTTCCTATCATGCTTTTATTTGCACTGTGCATGTCATATCGCCATTGTGTTTTGATGGCATAGTTATATCGCGCTATAGTTATACTTTTTTCTGTTAGTGGCTTTTTCCTGTGAACATAATTTTACACTTTTATTTTTTGTTTTTATGACTTTGATTATACTTAAGTGTTCATTTGTTTTATGTTAAGCACTTTGGCATGCCGTTGGTTTTTAAATGTGCTCTATAAATAAAGGTTGTTGTTGTTGTAGTTGTTGTTGTTGTTGTTGTTGTTGTTGTTGTAGTATGTATTTGGTGATTATCAGACTGGGGCGTGTGTCCTCTGGAGTGGAAAACTGAGAGAGAAACTTCAGGAGAATTATAGAAGTATTCATTTCACTTTTACTTTTAGGCTTTTAAATCATGAATATAGAGTAAAAACTTCAGTATTACAATACAGATTTATTTTAATCGTTAGTTGGTTAACTGGCATTTTACTTTCTTCACCGTGGCCGTGATGTTTACTGCACTGAACTTCAAGTTGAACCGATATAGCTGAAATGTTGCTGTTATAATTGTGGAGCGGGAGGTCAAGATGGGAGGTTGTGATGGGAGAAAGGTCATGATGGGCGGTCATGATTCTTTTCGTAACCATTATTACCTTTATGTGTCTCTCAGTGCCCGACCCGCCGACACACCTGCGTGCCGTAAACGTCACCGACTCCACCGCCTTGTTATTGTGGCGTCCAGCGCTGGCAGCCGTTGATAAGTATTCCATCGTGTACGGCGCGGGCACAGGTGAGCAGCCTGACTCATCTCACTGTTAATGCAAACTCATCATGTCTGCATCATGTCAGTTTCTCTTGCGTGTCTTAAATTCACCCACGGCTCCTCGTTGCTACTCCTACGTGTTTGACGAAAGCGTCCAGTCTGATCATCGTTTTGAATGAGGCAGTTTGCTTGTGTAGGTTCAGAGGTGAAGGTCACGGTGTCCGGAAACGCAGCCGAGCAGCAGCTCAGCGGCCTGGAGGGATCCACCACCTACACCGTCACTGTAACCAGCCAGCTGGGCAGCCGGGAGAGCTCGCCGGCCACCACCAGCTTCACCACCACCGGCGGTCAGCACCACCTTTGTCTGTAGTTTGGTTTGTGACCTGAACAAACACGAACCTCATCAGTGTTCCTCTCCAGGCTCGGGGAAAGTTGGGGAAGGCCCACAAGACCTCCAGGCGAGCAACGTGACTCCACGCACTGCCACGTTGTCATGGAAACCTCCATCAAAGCCCGTTGGTAACTACAGACTGAGCTATCAGGCTAAAGACAAAGAAATGAAGGTGAGCAAGTTTTAAAAATGATTTCCTGATTAGTCAGTGACTCGAGTTCAAGTCACGACAGGAAGCGAGGCTGATGTTCTTTTTACGCCTCCTCCTATGATTTTTCTGTGATTTAACTTCTGAGAACACAATCGTCCGGCTTAGCATCGCCTCTTTGAACCAAAGAAAATCGAATAACATATTTGTTAAATTTGCTGAGTCCTCTTGTCCTCACCGTGTGCACATCTGGACTGTTTCCAGCACAGCTGCTTCTTTTGGGTCACTCTGTGGACGTTCACACTACTTACACTTGTACAGGTGTGGAGTGACGATTGTGTCGATGGCCAAAGAACTGCTGAATCTTCAGTCATATAAAGATCAATCATTAGAAGGAAAACTCGAGTTATTGTTATTGCAGACTCCAGAATCGCAGCAGTGATAGGGATTAGCAGGACCCTGGAGTCTAGACGCTGGTGGTGGTGAACACCTGGGAAAACTCCCAGATGTGTGAACACTGAGCTTCCTTGTGGAGTTTAAACTTAAAGAGATCCAGATGTGTACATGGCGACCACCTTAAAGAGAACCTCAGACTCATTTTATTATTTATTTATTCGTGAATATCAGCAGATGTTGAATTTGATGGTTGTTTCTCACCAACCGTCAAAGGAAAACGTGGCTGAGACGTTCCTGTTTATTTTGACCTGATGTTTATAATAGCGTGCGTATCTCAGACATTCGTGAGGCCTGATTTCCGTTTGTACCGGCGGCAGGAGGTCATTGTGGACGGCTCGTTAACGCAGTACAACCTGACTGGACTCCATCCTGGATCCACGTATACGCTGCAGCTCCAGGCCGAAGGAGGAGGACAGTACACGTCCGCCATCTCCACAGAATTCACCACCGGTACTTCTTCGAGCCTTCGTCAGTGCTGTTGTTGTTCGAGATTTCCTCCCACCCTCACCCTCCGTCTTGCTCCTCCTCAGGTACCCTGCGGTACCCGTTCCCCACTGACTGCTCTCAGGAGCTGCTGAACGGCATCGTGACTTCAGGCGAGGCAGAGATTTTCCCTCAAGGCAGACACGGGACGCCAGTGACAGTTTCCTGCGACATGGAGACAGACGGTGGCGGCTGGACGGTATAAACTCACACCACAGAGTCGTCTTTACTTTACGTGTGTTTGCCTAATTTAATTACTAATAAAACACTTCCAATATAGTCCAGCAGTATTTATAAAGCACGTTTATGGGACTCGATGGAGACCGGCTCGCTTTCAAAGGCAGCCTCGTGTCAGCGCCGCCTGCACTGAGCAGGTCTCGGGTGTTTGGCTTCCTGTGTGCAGGTCTTCCAGCGGAGGAAGGATGGCTCCGAGAATTTTTTCAGACGCTGGAACGAGTACGTGGAAGGATTCGGGGACGTGAATGGAGAGTTTTGGCTCGGTGAGAGATGCTTTTTAATATCTGAGTACAAATCTGCACAGGACCAGGCTCCGTGTGGTGAGGAAACATATTTGGAAACACGGATGGCAGATGCAGCTTCCACAGAGAGCAGTTAAAGCAGCAGATTTGAGCACAGCGCCAGTTTAACTGGAATGACAGACATTCTCATCCCAGCCTTTTCTCATTTTTCTGTTCAGTATGTCTGTTGTTTATTTTGTTTCCTGTAATAAAACCCGATAAACTCGCCCCTTCAGGACTCGCGAGTATCCACAACCTCACAGCGATGAGCAGGATGAGCCTGCGGGTCGACCTGCGAGACGGCGACGAGTCGGTGTTCGCTCAGTACTCGACGTTCGAGGTGGCCAAGAGGAACTACAAACTGACTGTGGGAGGATACAGCGGCACCGCAGGTAACACGGGAACCTGGAACAGGTGATCAAAGGTTTTCAGCACCGCCGAGCTCGATTCAGGTTCAGATGTTTGCTCTGAACATCCTGATCTGCCTGGGTCTCATTCAGTCAGAAAAAGCCATCACACCAAGGTCACCTCTGTCCTACTGTAATGTCCAGACTGGGGGGCAAGGCCCCTAAAAGCATGCCCCTGCCTGCACTCCTGGCCTCCTTGGTCTGGGACACTTCAGACTGAAACCTGCTGGACGGTCGTGTATCATCAGAGTAGAGATAGACCGCTCCGATATTACGTATCGGTATCGGTCCGATACTGACCTAAATTACTGGATCGGATATCGGAGAAAAATAAAAAATGTAATCCGATCCATTAAATATCACGAAAGCACCTCACAAAACTTGCAACAAGCCGTAACTCACCTCAGAACGTTAGCACGTCGGAGCAGTATGCAT